CAGAAAAGAGACAAATAGGTGTAAAAATTCCTGTTGAAATAATTGAAGATCTGCAGTACCTGTAAAAGATGTAAATTAAACCCACTAAACTCTTCTCAGTGCTTATGGCAAAACTGATCAGTAACATAATTGCCATGATGAATAGGTTTATCTCTAGAAGTGCTGACTTCCAAGTGATTCCTCTGACCTGCAATGAAAATGCCAGTGAGATCGTGCCTGTAGAACACTTCTTTTTTTTTGACCTCAAGAAAATAAAGGGAAGAAACAATCCCCCTACTCTAAAAAAAAGAGGATAACTCTGTATACTGACTCCTAATGTAAATAAGAAAGGAATTGTGAGATCTGCTCTCAAATATACTGCTTTATATGAAGCTTCTTCAGAGGTTGGAAGGTTATCTTGGAGCACTCTATTCCCTCACCCATTTCTTTACTGCTACTTTGTGTATGAAAGTTGATATATATTTTATATCAATTGGTTATTTTCCATCATAAATAAAGGAAATCTGGATCATTATGCAAAAAAAATGAGATTTTTTTGGGAATACATTTAAAAATCAAACTAAACTTCAGAATCTCGGCATGAAAGGCAATAGCTAAACTTTAGTTCCTGAAACTATGGTCACACATTTTCAGTAGTGGCAGTGTAGCATTATTATTGCATTTAGGCTGCAACTGGTTTACATAGTGTCATGATCTTGTACTATTGATCTGATGAATTGTAATACCTTAATGAAATTACTTACACGTAATTCATAACAGTAAGTAGACAGATACACAACAAGGGATTTGTTTTGGACTGTGCAAAATTTCCAGTAGCAAAGTTGTGCTTATATAAGAAGAGAAAAAGAGAAAACCTGGGAATTTGTATAGTACTATGTTGATTCTTCTGATCTCTTTTAGTAGGAGCAGGGACAATCTTTTATCTTTTCTGAATCCCTGCTATTGCATGTTCAATATAAAATATTTTAATTAACAATATTTTCTGCAATCCTGTGTTGTCTGAATTTCAAATGGATTGAGTTTTGTAGAAAACTATTTCTTCATTGAGATGAACATGAAAATGACGTTATTGACTGAAATAAGAGTAGCTATGCAAAAATTTCATAGTAGCAGAAAAGAAAAATAAACAAGTGAAAAAATTTAAGTAACTTTAAAAAAAAATAAAAAAATTAGAGTATAAATTCCAGAGTCTATACCATAATAAAATTTTGTCTCATAGAGAAAGTGTGTTTTTATGCCATCAACTGTAAAGTCAAGCCACATATGATATTAAACATTTGGTATTAAATCTGGGAGAGATTTAACCCATAGTCATAAAAATACTTTTATGTACTTTATAAAAGGTGAAGTCTAATAGTCAATATGGTTGCTCAATACATATGACATGTATTTGTGTAATGTATTAGCTAGTGCAAAAGCAATACTCAAGTTATTTTTAAAATCAACAAAGTTAAAATATTACCCAGAACATGTCTTTGTAAAAATTTTATCTTTATTGGTATATAATGATGAATCTAATTATCAACACTCTTAAATAACTATATGTAAACTGTAGAGATACAGCCTATTTAGACTCAATTTATTGTATTTCACTGCATATGATATCTAATTGACAATATTCCAGTGTATATTTTCAAGAGCAAATATTCCAAGTTCCAGTTTATATGTTGGCACACTGACCTGAACTTCCATTAGTCATTCATCATAACTGACAGTTGCTATATGACTGTATATAGCAATCTCAATATGTTTGAGAGGTGGATATTTTGAAATAGCAGGGGATCAAACTGAAAGGTTGTGGTTTTAAAGATTTAATTCATTCACAGAACAAAAATGCTTGCGTGGACAGTATATGTTTAGAAAGGTTGCATATTGTCATGTGCAATAGATCAAGTCTAACTTTTTTAGCATAGAAGTGATTTTATTAGTATTCTGAATTTTCCCTCTTTTAAGTTTACTGGAATCAGATGAGATGAATTATCTCTCTATTCTGAGCTGACAATGACTTAAAGCACAGAACTTCAGGAAACCTGGAGAGGCTTTCCTTTCTAGATGATCGACATGAGAAAAAGATAAAGAACCTTTATTATGAGGCAAGTGTTTTAACTTTGTTTTCAGTTCAGCAGATTGAAAAATGCAGAAATCTTTCTGCTGTAAATCAGTTTCCCATTTGTGGGAACAGATGGATCACCATATTTTAATCTGTTATGTCTAATCTCGTGCTTCTGAGATTTACAATATACCTCAAAGTTCTAGAGGAAAGCAATACTTATTCTCCAAATTGTCTACATAGAATGAATAAACCTTGAAGTTTCTTGGTATCTGATGCTATAAAGGTTGCCAAGACTTTTGGTTGGCTGGCTTATAAATTTATTAATATGCATGTTTTTTCCTAAGCTTTTTATCTATATTTCACTAATTCAGTGCAGTTGAGTTTTAGGGCTGGTATGTGGTTACTAAAAATTTTTCACAGTCTGATAAACATTTATTTGTTTCAGGCTATTTCCTTGCAGGCAAACTGTAAACCATTACAAACAGCACTAAATTGCACTCCCTTTCAAACAGGCAAGTACACCAGGAGAACCAGTAAAAGGTGTGACTGCAACTTTCACCGATAAGAGGGAGATTAAAATAAGCCGCATGGGGTAATAGTGATAGCTAGTACATTCTGAGTTCAGTTGCTATAAAACCTGCCTACAAAGTTCAGCAAACTCTTAGGAAATTAACAACTTTGCATTTGAGGTGATGCAGAAACACTTTTTGGTCCATCCTATGGCCTAGGCTCCAAAATCATCCTTGCTGAAGAACATACTGTAAAGCACAATGTAGATTAGATTGTATGTTCAGATAGTCTACTAAAAATTTATGCTAGCACTCCCACCAAGCTATCAAAGATTACTGCCTTTTCCAAATATGAAGACAACAAAGCAGGACACTAAACTCATGGAAGATGTAGGGAACCATGGTTTCGTTCCTTTCTGTCTGGAACTGAAGGAATCAAGCACATCTTGCCTGCCAGAAGGGCAGAAGTCTTTTAGCTATGACTGTGTTCCTTTTGTCCATCTCTGTCCATCTTCCCTTCTCTGGACAAGCAACATTCAGGTTCTTTTCTACAACATGTCTTCAGCAACAGGTATGGAAAGCACCTGGTTAAACCTGACACTTGAGGGAAGTAGGTTATGTTGGTTTGAAAAGTCACTGTTCTGCCAGATGCACCCAACATATGAAAGAAAAGCACAGCCTACATTGTTGTTTGTTTTTGTTTTTTTTTTAAAAAAGCATCCTCCCCTCTGTGTTTCAGAGAAAAGTTACTGTTATGTCCTTTCAAAGTAAGTCTCAGAGCTAAGAATTAATGGGTGGGGAAAAACCACTAGGTTTTAGTCCTGAGTAAGTTGCCTGAGTAAGTCCAGAGCTAGCTGTTTATAAGCGGTGTCTGTCATCAGAATTATTTTTGCAACAAAATTCTGTGTGTTCAGTGTGCATATTACCATTTTTAAAGCACCTAACTTCTCTTGTTCCCACATGACTGACACAAGAGTATAAGTTTGGGTGGGGATAGTTAGTAATTTCATTGCTTAACAATGGTATCCCTAAGTTTCTCCTTTCATGTGTCCCTAAAACTTTCATTTCTTGATGTACTTCTGAACGGATGATTCTGGCTACATGGACTTTGGGTGGATCTTAGTGCTTCACTTATTGTCTTTTATCTCAGTTCTGATCCATCACTGCTATGATCTGTGGTCAGCTTCCCTGAGTATGAGAACAATATAAACAGTCCTTTTTAATATCTTTATTCATAATCTGGATGAGGGGATTGAGAGTGCCATTAACAAATTTGCAGGTGACACCAACTTGGGGGTGAGTGTTTATCTTCTGTAAGGCAGGAGGCCTCTGCAGAGAGACCTGGACAAGCTGGAGAGATGGTCTGATTCCAGTGGGATGAGGTTCAACAAGGCCAAGTGCCGGGTCCTGTACTTCGGCCACAACAACCCCCTGCAGCGCTACAGGCTGGGCACAGAGTGGCTGGAGAGCAGCCAGGCGGAAAGGGATCTGGGAGTTTGGATTGACAGGAAGCTGAACATGAGCCAGCAGTGTGCCCAGGTGGCTGAGAAGGCCAATGGTATCCTGGCCTGGATCAGGAACAGCGTGGCCAGCAGGAGCAGGGTACTCAGTGCTGGTGAGGCCACCTCGAGTGCTGTGTCCAGTTCTGGGTCCCTCAGTTCAGGAGAGACATTGAGGTGCTGGAGCAGGTCCAGAGAAGAGCAACAAGGCTGGTGAAGGGACTCGAGCACAAGTCCTATGAGGAGAGGCTGAGGGAGCTGGGGTTGTTTAGTCTGGAGAAGAGGAGGCTCAGGGGTGACCTCATCACTCCCTGACAGGAGGTTGTAGCCAGGTGGGGGTTGGTCTCTTCTCCCAGGCAACTATCAGAAATTCTTTACAGAGAGGGTAATCAGGCATTGGAATAGATTACCAAGAGAAGTAGTGGCTTCTCCATCCCTGGAGGTTTTTAAGATGAAACTGGATGTGGCACTGAGTGCCATGGTCTAGTAACCATGGCAGTATTGGATCAAGGGTTGGACCAGATGATCTCAGTGGTCTTTTCCAACTCAGTTGATTCTACAGTTTTATGATTCTATGAATATACATTCAGTCTAATGTGTTTCTAGATGGAAATTTAATTTATTTTATTTAATTAATTTATTTAATCCTCCTCTGTGAAATAAATATACGTTTCCTAACCAGGTGGGCTGTTACATAAATAACATTGCCAGGTACTTCTAAGTAATTAGTCATACAAATTTGAAGTCTGTATCTGCATTTGAAAAAATATAGCTCTGCAACGTCATAGTATCATACATGTGATTAGTGTTTGTTTTTTCTACATTTATTTTCAAGAATTTTATATACATGTCTCTCAGCACAAAAGGTCCAGAGGATCAAGCAGGTCAAAGGTTCTACAGATTCTTTTCTGTATCTAATATTTATTTCCTCTTTAACAGGTGATTTGTATATTGGAGGAGTGGCCAAAGAAATGTTTAAGTCCTTACCAAAACTGGTGCACGCAAAGGAGGGATTCCAAGGCTGTCTTGCGTCAGTTGACTTGAATGGACGGCTCCCTGATCTAATCTCAGATGCTCTCTTCTGCAATGGGCAGATAGAAAGAGGATGTGAAGGTATTAAATATGCTGACTTATTTTGTATATCATAGTGAAAGTATTTTGCAAATCCTGCAGTGTTTTATTGATATGTATACTGCATACATCAAGTGACTATATTCTGCCTGCTTCTAATTAAACTTGCTTGACCCTGCATTTCTTTAGTATTATGGAGACAACCGTGTGCCTGCCCTACAGCACAGAGATTGGTCTCAGAATATGAGTTAACTGCCTAGTGTTTAATGTAGTTTCCATACTTCTCCAGTGTCAACATATTTTGCATGCATTTTGTTTACTTCTGATGTGTTTTAATTAATGATAGAAACAATACCAATTAGCTTCTATGAAGTTCTTTATATCTTCATAGCACTTAGGCGTTAGCTAATGTTGAGACGTTGGCTAACTGATTCCTTTTTTAAAGCAGACATTTTGAGTTGATTAATTCAAGGCTGGTTTACGAAGCTGTTTAAGACCAATCTTCTATGTTCCCTATTTTGCTCCCCCTGATATTAATATTGTCATGAGCCTTTCTATCTGAAATCAGTAACAGACAAATACGTTTTATCTCACATTTTTATGTCTTTTTTGACACATCTTGAATATCACGGAATTTAAGTGAGGACAGAATTAGAAGAGGTGTATTTCTAATTCAGGGATGTCAATCTCTAGCTATTTTTCCAGCTGTCTTCTGAACCCACATTATTTTTACTATGATTTATGGAATAATTTGAATACTTTTTCTGTCACTGTATATCTGCTTTATTCACATAATTCTTGATTTTGTGTCTATGTTCAGTTTTATGTGTTCTCCCTTCTCTTAAGTGCCATTCTTCTCTTGACAGAAAAATGTGTAAATGACAGTGTAAAATTAATTTCAAATTGGAATCTTGGTGATTTTGATATAAAGTTTGTTAAGTTTGAAAATTAACATTGTAAGAAATCCAAGCAGAGCTCTGGGGGTTTCCTCAGGCTTCATGGGATAAAGCCTTCTAGTGGATAAATTCTGTCTCCTCTTTTGTTGTGCCTACAGTACGTTTGTAAAGGTGGAACTTTTTTGTTCTTTACCTTCTACCTTTAGTTAACAGCATAATTTCTATTGTTAGCACATAGAAACAGACACTAAAGAAAAAATAAGATGTAAATTTTACATATTTCTATCAGGAGTGAAAAAAATATGTATAAATTAGTTTGCCACTGAGTGTAGAAAATTCGATTCTGCTTTCTGATGGGTGTTAGCAAGTTCCATGCCTGCACTATCCCTTCAGAGATTCAAAGTATGCCTTAATTCCATTATGCATTTCATAGCTTCTTTTGAAATTATGTAATTTCCTAAATGAATTTTATGTACTTCAAAGAAATATAGCCACAGGCCTAGCGTGAGAATTCACCTTTTAAACCAGTGGCACAGCTCATCTATCAGTGAATTTAATAAAGCTACCAACAATTTAATGAAGGCCATACAACTATTGTACTTTTAGAGAGAGAGTCAATGTTTTCCCAACACCAAAATCATGTGATAGAACAAACTAGTCAAACCAGATGTGCTGCCTTGCTCCCAGGGAACTGCCTCATCAAAGGTCTTCTGCCTGCAGAAGGAAATCTTTAACAGCATGGAATGAAATATTCCCTTCCAACCTTTCTGCTTAACCTTGAGTGTTAACTCTTCCATCTCACTTGTTTACTTCAAGTCTTTGTGTCTGACCCATCTATCTGTCTTTCGTTTGCAGACCGTGAATCAGATGTACAAAAAAGTGTTCTGTCACCTGAAATATGATTTAAGTCACTTGTGAATTTAGCTGCCTCCTAGAAAACTCTTGTATGCCTCAGGCTTCTCACACCTCTGCTGCTGTGTACAGCCAGGACTGTCTCCATCTTTCCAGAGCTGTGTTTTGCATCAATCTCACTCTACAATGGGATGTGTAAGCTCTGAAGTCCCCTAAGACATCAAGTCCAAAGAGCTCAGGACACAACAGCAGAAGTAATTTCAAAAGTGTTGGTCACCACCACTCTTAATCCAAA